TTGATTTGTTGTTAACATAAGTTATAATCATGAATGCCTGACAACATTTACAAACATTAGCAATAATCGAATAAGATAACTAATGTAATCATGTTAACAATTTATAATCTGATTGTAACATCCTTTGTGTGTAGTTTCCAATTGAATAATAAGAGTTTATACTATACTTATTTGACATACCATTAATGGATCCTCTAACCTTGACATTTGTTGTTATCATTGTTTAATTCTTATGTTAATCTAACATGTTAAAGTTCTCATCAACTTCTTCTTCTTCTTCTTCTTTATTATTACTTATTATTATTACTACTACCACTACTACTATTATTATTATTGTTACTATTGTTGTTATTATTGTTGTATTATTATTATCTATAATTTATACAATTAACCTCCCTATGGTTCGACCCCGGTCTTGTCGGGTTATTTATTACTTCGACACTCCTGCACTTGGAAAAAGACATCAATCTTTTGATCGTGTCAATGGGCCATTTCCTTCTTTTTTTTAACGGTGCGATTCTCAATAACGACAAGCAAGAATGTTATGTTTTTCAATCGTGACATTTACAAACTATATTATTTTGTTAATTTTTCTTAAACTATGTTATTTCACCCATCTTTAAATAAAAAAAACATGTTAATAACAAAAAATACCCCCTATTCATTATAATTTGTATTGCTTGTGTTTGTTATTTTTTATATTGTTTCTTCTACTATCGAGGCTTGAAGCATTTCTTTTGGCAAGTGATATTGGTCTATGTGAGCTTTTTCTATGACCACTCTTCATAAGGGACACCAAATGTGAATGTGAATGTGTCGCTTGATCAGTGTCTGTAATATGTCCTGAACAGTTCTTCTATTTTAATTCCTGAGGTAGTTGAGATCCGTTATAGCAAGAATAAACCATGAAGCAAAATTAGTAAATGTCATTTTTAATGATATCAAACATGGTAAGAATTGATTTAAGAAAGGATACAATCAATTCAAATGATGCATTGAGCATTGAGTTAAGGCTTTATAGCTAGCTGAAGAAGAAAATACATGTGACAAACTATGTGTTGCATATCAAGGAAAGAGATTGTCTAAAAAGGAAAGGTTTTGGTAGAGGGAATGATGTTAGAGGGATCTAACTGAGCTGGAAGCAGTCAATATTCAAGCCAGTCCTGGGGTGATATCAATTTCCAAAGCACTACCAATTGAATGTCAAAGTCCTGTGACAAAAAACTTTATCTGGCAGCTGATAAAAATGGGAGAACAGATGAAGTTATATTTTATCAGTCACTTTGTACCGGGTGGAATGAACGCTTGTTTTCAAAAGGCCATTGCTTTTGAAAAAGAAGAGATGATTCGAGCCAGTTAACTATGAGAAGATTATTTTTGTTGTGCGGATGAAATGATAAAAGTTGCAAGGGGGTGAAGTTCTATATCACTAACTAATAGTTTAGGAATTATGAAAAAACTAAAAGAGGTAAAGGTTTTTCTATGTAAAACTTATAGATTACTGTGGATTTAGTGATTTTTTTTGTTATCAAACTTTTTGTGTGTGATTTGAGCATGTGATGGCCAAATTGATCGACGATGAGGTCTAATGTATTTATAAAGATGAGCAAAATTGAAAGAAGAAGGATTAAAATGAAAAAAATAAAAAAACAAATTGCACTTTTAAACTAGACATGAAAAGTTGATTTTGGTCCTTATACATTTCAATTGATACATTTAAAGGTTTTCAAGTTTTTAAAAATTTATTTTTGATCTAAAACTTTATTTTCTTTACTTTTTAGTATATTGATTTGAGATTAGAGAAAGATAATTATTGTATTATAGTTAAAAATAGAGAAAATTGTTATAGGTGTTATTCTATCTACGGAAATGATCGATAATTCTTTGATCTTATTGTTATAGATCTAGGGGTTAAATTTTTTTTGGAATTCGAGTTGTTTTGATATTTTTTTAGGTTGTTTGATATCATGTGTGGGTTTATTACAGTGTTTAAAAAGTGTTTTTTTCTTAAAAATATTTTGAAAAATAATTTTTTTTTTTTAAATAGCTTAACCATTGTTTTCTGGTGACCCTTCATTTCTTGAAATCTGAAAACAGTAAATGACTTATAACTTACGTGGATTGTTTCAAGAAAATAGTTGTTTGCCCTCTAGTATTGAAAAAAAAAGGCATGGCATGTGGGTCAAGCCTTTTTTTAATGGTCATGTGCATAGGCTAGTCTCTCTTTTTTTTGTTTTTTCTGCATTTTACTGTTGGATTCATTCAAATAAAAAAAATATTAAGTAACATTCAATTTTTAATTTGTTTATGAGTTCATAGCCTTTTTATTATATTATAAAGCACTCGTTTTTTGAAATTTATCATGATTTTTTTTAAAATTTATTTAATCACAAAAAGAATATTTGTTGTTTTTTAATAGAATACCATTATTTTATTTTATTTTTTCCAAAAAAGTGATTTAGACAGGAAGATCATATTTCTCACACTCTTAGGCCTACTCTTTCAAGCCCTTGTATGTTTGCCTATTGTTTTAGGCTACAAGGGGCCATATTGCTTATACTTATGGGTTTTTATAGAATTATTTTTATCGTTAATTTTATTTAAATAAAATAATTAAATTTATTTTTAAATTTATCTTGAATGATATCATTTTTTTATACTAGCAGACCCTATTTTTGTTATGTCTTTCATGATTGTTTCTAGTTTTTTCTTTAAGTTTAATTAAAATTAATTAAGATTTAATAAATGTTATTATATTTGAGATATTATTTAATTAAATAATCAATTGAATCATCTCAAATTTTAGTTATCAATATAACTTTTCTTGGCACCAAATTATTTTATTAAAGGCATGCATCATCTCTGCAATTCAAATTTATAATTTTCCTTGGTGGTGCAAGAAACATTGCCAATGCTGTATTTTTTTTTTTTACAAGTGTGATGAAAAAATATATTCCAATCGGATCAAAACATGCGCACAAGACTGGTTAAATCTAATGAAAAGATAAATTATTATGGTTGTTGCTAATGCACAAAAAATTATATAATAACATTATATATAGGCTGTACGTGGCAAATATATCAGTATCTGGAAACGTGGTGTATATTATGTTTTTAAAAAATTTATTTTTTTAAATAATTTTTTTATATATTTTTAGATTGTTTTGATGTGTTGATATTAAAAATAATTTTTAAAAAATAAAAAATTATATTTTAATATATTTCTAAATAAAATTCACTTTAAATCATCGTCCCTACCACAATTTCAAAACCTAAGCCACAACCTTGCAATCTTAGGCACAACTGACATAAGGAATGTAGATAACGTTGACAGAAAGAAACGTAACAAGCAAGCTCGTAAACATTCAATGGAGATGTTCAATGGAGATGTGGAGGGACAAGAGGGAAGATTTGATTGCATAAACAAAAATTAGATTCCTAAAGCATAAGCAAAGATATGATTAACTTTGAAAATTCCAATTACGAAGTACTAATCTTGGCAAAATAGAGAGAAACCATGCAACTTAAGCCCTATTTCTTATGGATTCCCATGACATAAAGTTTGGTAAAGGGACATAGTCAATGACCATCTGCTTCATTCACAAGTTAACCAGCCAATAATCATCTTCTCAAGTACAAAAGCAGAAAAATCCCAGCAAGCTTCAACCATATAAAGTTTGCTCTGCGCCCCTTGAGCAAAGAAGGTGCTGGCGACATGGCAGCAGACCTGCAAATACCCTCCAAAAGGGCGTTTCACTTTAGAATGTTAATGTCGATTCTCTTTCACACACTTTTTTTTAATCTATAGAAGAAGAGGAATCTAGCGTGTGAAGAAGAATAAATATAGAGAGAGAGAGAAACAAAAGTAGAAGAGCATACCCAGGTGCAGCATAGCTACATTTTCCATGACCTGCACATTAAAAATGGGGTAGATTAGTCATGGTCCAATGGTAGTAACATACCTGGTTTATCTCAACGGGTGGGCTTGGCAGTTCAAGTCGATGATCTACATACTGAGAACCTAGCTCAGGCTGAGTCGGGTTGATCACGATCTGCAACCCGAGCCTTGGGCCAGGTCAACCCTGGATCGGGGTCCTATAACTATGCATCAAAGTGATAAACTTACTGCAGATCAGAGTATCTAATAATTCTTTGGCTAGGTTGCTGTTTAGCTAATCTTCAAAAATAAAAAATTGGTCAACATTTTCCAATGACTACAAGCAACATAAAGTGAGAGTCCTACTTCAAAATGGCGTGTGCTTGAAGAAACATAAAGGAAGTCTAATTGCTGAGAACACTGTTCCCATTTTTTTTCCAAGTATCATTCTCATCAAAATTAATAGAAACCAAAGGGCATATTTGATGCATAAATTCGAGGTTCCTCATTAAAGGAATCAAGTTCTACTCTATTCTTCTGTTCATCATCAAGAAAAGAACGAACAACTAAATAAAGTAAACGAAAAGAAGGTGAAGGCAAAAAATTTCTTACTAGGATCCCTTCTAGTTAAAACGGCAGTTCCTCCGAAGTTGCAAGCAATTTCAGAATTCTCATTTTGTTGGTAATAGTTGTTGAAAGCATAGGAGGCATGAGAAACTAGCGTTTCAGGATCAAAACACGCTCCACCCTCTTGGATTGGACTGCAATCTACCATGCCTGGACCACAGGCCCAGTCTAATGCATTCTGCAAATCAATTTGAGAGACACCTGACAGGGCTACACACCATGTTGTGCCACCAAGAAAAGTTGTGTTGCCTTCTGGAGGTGACAATGTTATGACTGGGATCGCAAGTTCTGCTTTCTCTTGCGTTGCAGTCTCCATTGTCAGGACTAAGTTCAGGCAAAGAAAATAAAAGGGCCAAAAAAAAAAACAGAAAGAGAACAAATTAGCAATTGTTAGAATAATATTTTCATGATATAAACTAATGATTAAATTCGAGGAAGGGTATGTACAAAACTACAACATAGAAGCCACGATTAAATTAATTCAACGTTAGCCCCACAAACCACAGACATAACCAAGGCAAAGACATAAAACAAGGGAGAAAACATACCTAGATAACATTGCAGCAGCAAGAGACATGGCAAAACCAGCACTCTGTTTCTCATTGTAAAATTCTTGAAGCCTTAACGAGGACTCTTCTCAAGTCTTAACTCTCGACTGACAACACAAACACACACTCTCTCTTTCTCGGTGCTAAAGGGAGTAATATCAGTACTAATAAAGAAATCTTATTCGTATTGTTAGGAGAGTTTCAAGGGAATCCAGCAGTTTCTTCAAGGGAAATTACGTCTTTTTCCTTTTTGGGGCTTTAACACAGTAGACAGTAGTGTGATGCAAGAAATACTACTACTTTTGTTCAGTGTCTAAAGTGCTTGCTGCCTTTGGCAGGCCATATTAGGCTTGCAGATGCCATGAAATGCTCGTACGAAATTCAAGCTTTCGCATCCATAAAGATAAATAAATCTTGTTTGCCCCCTGAATTTTTCCCTTTAATCCATCTCCATCCGTTGAACTGACCGGATTCATGATAAGTTTAAAAATAGTTTTAATCAAATATCCATCCTTCAATAATATTAAAATTAATTAATAAAACTTGTTTCATGGAAATATATATTAAAAAAAGCCTTGCAAACACTCATGCAATCAATAAATTAAATATAAAAACATTGAGGGATATAGTTCAACTGGTCAGATTTTGAGTTTATTTTTTAAAAATTATTCATTTAAGTCTTACAAATCTCAAAACTACTGAAAATTTACATGGTTTTAACTTCAGGGCATGTAAGATTAGTATAAGTGCATGCTAGCTAGCATGGATACTCATATTAATAAAAATAAAAAAAATATCAAATCCTGAGGGATGGAGCTCAACTGATTAAGCTTTAAATTTGCTCCTACTCCTTGGAGGTCAACAGTTCGAGTTCCATAAATTTCAAAACCACTGGAGGTCTATATGTTCGTTAGCTTAAAGACTCATGAAATTAGTTGAAATGTGTCTAAACTGACCAAAACACCCATGTTAATAAAAAAAATTAAATGTCAAATGGATTAATTCTTTCAATCAGATAACTTATGATTTGTACAAAAATATAGTTTAGAAATATACTATTTTCTTTATTTTTAATTATTTTATTTGAAAACGAGAATATGAAAAGATGTTGTCAAGCTAACTTGTTATGATTTCATTAAAATATTTAAAACTTATAGTTTGACCTTTTGCTATAAGTGATCATTTTCGGTTCGGTTTGGTTTTTTATGATAAAAACCGATTTAAACTGATTTGGCTTGGTTTTCTTAGTTTTGCTTTATTTTTTTCAATTTGGCTCCGTTTTTTCGGGTTTTTTCGATTTGAATTTGGTTCAATTTTTTTGGTTTCAAGCTTATAAAACTGAAATCGAACTAGTCGGTTTTTTAAAATTTTAATCGGGTTTTTTCATAGTTAAGTTTTTTCAATTACTTTTTTTAGTTTTCTTGATTTAATTGGTTTTTTAATTTTTTTGTCCACCTCTATCTTTGCATTATTATCAATATTTCTCTAACATTTAAAGTTTATAAATTTGAGAAATATAGCACAAAAAAAAAAGATAATATAACCATAATCGAAAAAACAAGATTGTTAATATAATTGAAGAATGAGTTTTTTTATTAATATTTTTAAGAAATTCAGGAGGTCAATTGAGAAACAAAGAATGACTTATGGTCAGATCCTTTAGCTTCATGAATTGAGATGGACCAAACGGAAGAATTGAGACTTCCATGGAAACTCAGGGAGGTAATTGATACAAACAAAAAATTTGCGGAGAAATTGAGAAGCCCTCAAAACCTATAGGGATTGGAGCACAGGTAGAGAGTGTTTGGAAATATAATAATAATTATTTTTTAAAATATTTTTTATTTAAAGATATATTAAAATAATATATATATGTATTTTAAAAAAAATTATTTTTAAGATCAATAAATCAAAATGATATATAAACATTTAAAAAAATATTAATTTTAAAAAATAAAAATAAAATATAAACATAGCATTGAATCTTTAAGGCAGAGCGGCAGAGTCCAGCAACAAAAAGCATTTTAGGGTCTGTCTTTTCCAAGTTACGACGACATACCTTTCTCAGCTCAATTTATCACAGACAAAAGCCACAGCTTTCAACCATATCTGCCCATAAAGCAGATTCTTGAAGATGTTTATTTTAAGACTGTTCAGCTGAAGATCCATGAATGAAGGGAAAAAAAATCACATGAGAAAAGATAGAGTTCTATAAATTCTAATTAACTTTTGGACGTACCGCACAAGGTGTTTATGCAAAAATTATTTAAAGCCATAGACAAATTTATCTTTCATTAAATTGAAAATGAGAAAAAAAAAATAGATTTGAATTTAACTAATATATATATTTCTAAATATATACAAACAATAACACGGGCTTACATGCAACATTAAGAACGTTCGGAGCAATATAGAATAAAAATTTAGGGGCTGGATAACTAAGACGTTTTTTTTCAAAAAAAATCTACTACAATCTTTGCTATCTTTTTTTTTTGTTTTTTAATAACTTGAAATATTCTGGCCAGCTTACGTATACTATAACTAATTTCTGGACTCACTAAACACCTTACAAGTCCAATAAACATATAAAACATTACAGAGATGATAAATGTACTCATAAATAGTTGAATTTGAATATAAAAATAAAGAATTTCTTGTTAGAAAACACCTTAAAAGTTCAGCAAACATATAAAACATCACGAAAATGATAAGCATACACATAAATAGTCAAACTTAGATGTAGAAATAGAAATTTTCTTGTCAGAACTGGTAGACGACGACCCTTAAGCACACTAGCTTTAATATCTTAATCAACTAAGGCGTTTTTTTTCAAAAAAAATCTACTACAATCTTTGCTATCTTTTTTTTTTGTTTTTTAATAACTTGAAATATTCTGGCCAGCTTACGTATACTATAACTAATTTCTGGACTCACTAAACACCTTACAAGTTCAATAAATATATAAAACATCACAGAAATGATAAGCGTACTTATAAATAGTTGAACTTGGATATAAAAACAGAGAATTTTTTATCAGAAAATACCTTAAAAGTCCAACAGACATATAAAACATCACGAAGATGATAAGCATACACATAAATAGTCGAACTTAGATGTAGAAACAGAGAATTTCTTGTCAGAACTGCTAGGCAACGACCCTTAAGCGCACTAGCTTTGATATCTTAATTTTTAACTTGGTGTTCTTTATTATTTTGTTTTAATAAGTGATTGAAAGACTAATTTATTAGCAATCTGTGTAAAACTTTCATTGCAGAATAAAGATTCATGAAAGGGTAAAAGAACATAAAAACAAGAAAAAATAATTAAACGACAACCTCAAACTAACCAAATTACCAGATAAACCAGACAAACACGCACAAAAAAAAGTCTGATCTAGAAGTAATAATAGTAGATTTGAGATTACTGTGGATAAAGTAAATAAAATCACTACCGGCTGCTTCAATTCCCAGTTGCTTTCTCTGCTTCGTTTCATAAACCTGCACGTATTTTGTAGTTGATTACCCATCTTTTTCATTAAACATGAACTCTGAACAAAAATCTGTCAATTTTTATTAAAAAGAGCACAACATTTCGCAGCAATTGACTACCGGTACCGACCTTCTTCACTAACAAAGCAAATCCGATTTCGACCAGACTCTATATTCGTTTAGAAATCTATATATATAGATTTTTATGTCACATGTTGATCCTCAATGTCATGATATAATCCAACAAAGCATTTGTTAATGCGAGGGAAATTATTCATATTTTACATCTATTATATATTAATTATGTAATTTATTTAATGAAAATGGGTTATGAAAAAAACACTTAGATTTTTGTTGGAGGTTTGCTTTGAATATAAAACATTGACATGGGCCTACTCAAACACAACAAAATTCTATTGAATGGGCCTACTGAATTCCTATAAATTACTTAGATTTTTGTTAGTTTTGATTTTGTCCGAGGCCCATACACAAAATTAAGGAGAACAGACGACTCCCTTTCTTGTTTTTGTTGAAGGCTCCTCTAATTTTAAAGAGAGATTACAGAGAACCTCAAGAATATACAACAGATAAACACTTTTCTTTTCTCAAATTTGAATATATTGCTAAGCTTAAATCAGCTACTTAATGCCTGTTGATGGGGCCAGGGGAATGTTGTTCAAGCTGTCCAGTTAAAGCTTCAGGATCATACCAAGTTTCTGCAGGAAGCAATTAATAATCCCAAGTTGACATGATTTTGTGATCTTCGGAACTTTTGTAAAGCATGGTGTTTTCTGTTGAAATTCACTCATTAAAACATGTGGACACAGGAAGTAGTGTTTCAATTCCATCATAGCTTGTAGCACAGTCAAGCTGCTGCTTAGCACTGCCTTCTTTTCTTTTCGTGCTTACCTCTGCTTCACGATTAAGTCTTGTTTGATAATGAATCTGTTTTTTAAATTAATTTTTGCTTCAAAAAAAATTAAATTAATATTTTTTAAAAAAATTTATCTTTAATGGTTTTGATACGATAATATTAAAATTAATTAATTAATTATAAATTATAAAACAATAAATAAAATATATCATTTTAATATATTTTTAATTAAAAAATAATTTTGACAAATCACCGTGAATTACCAAATAAACACTAAACTTGTTAGTTTAATATGAATTGTAATTTATTGTTAATTTATACGCGACACTATTATATTTATGTAAATAAAAATAAAATTTATAAAATAAAAAAACTTTACAAATAAAATTATAAATTCACCATAGTAAACAAGAAACCAGAGAAGCACTAGCACCGTGAAATAAACTTTGATACGCGTTTTTGAGACTTGTTGGTCAATCAGTGCAGGCATTATAGTTGTCTTCCATTAGCTTCGTCTCGTGATTTTATGCATGTTTACACCTTGTTTTTTTTTTAAAGTTTTGGCATCAAATCGCATGGTTTCCACCACGAAAATAGATTCAAAGAACTATATATTTTTGTATTTTAAAAAATTTCAAAATTTTTATTTAAAATTAATATTTTTTATATTTTTAAATTATTTTACTATGTTGGAATATTTTTTTATATTTTTAAAATATTTTACTGTGTTGATGGTAAAAATATTTTTTTATAAATAAAAAATATTATTTAAATATATTTTCAAATAAAAAATATTTTTAAAAAATTAGAACTACCCTTCCAAACACTCCAAATACTAGAATAGTTTTGCAACCTTGCAAGCTACAGGAACTGCATTTCATGTGCCCAGTGGACATAAGTTGTTGGGTAGGTGGTAATTGGATTTGTTTTCCACGATATGCTAAATAGAGGAAAGACGTGTTCTTGGTTTGCAAAAGATGATATTGTTTTTATTTTTAAGTAATTAAAACAAATTATTTTATTTTAAACATGGTGTTGTCACCATAGGTAATTTTACTTTTTAAAGGCGATTAATTTGATAGCTAGAATAGTAGCTCACGAGCATATTGACGGGCGCCCGGCTCAAACCCACAGGCCCGGACTCACAAGAAAAGGAAAACTTCTGTTATTATATATATTTATTTATTTATTTCAGAAAAATCACAAGAAAAGGAAAACTTCTGTTATTATATTTATTTCAGAAAAATTATAAGGAAAAACAAGATATCTTTATAATATTTTGAACACGGGTCGATTCCAACAACTGGGGAGAGTCCCAGTGCAGTGAAATCTGATGAGCTGATGTCCAATCTTGATGATATTGTTGGCCAGAATCCATTACCGGCGTTGAGAACTGTCACATGTTTCGGCAAACTCTAGTGAATTCAATGATAAAAGGCTCTCCTTCAGTTCATACACGTCCACAGATTCAGAACTATCTAGTGGTATTTTGATGGGAACAGCTTGAAAAATGCAAGCATTAATGGAATCACCTCTTCTGGTTACACATCTGATGTTTCCTCTTCATGTTTTAAGGATGACAATGAGGAGTCGAGAAGGGAGATGGAGAAGATTGAACTACAGTATCAGAAGGCAATGAAAGAGATATCCGAAAGAAGGCACGAAGCTATTCACGAGGCAACAAAAAGACTGTCGCAGAAGAATGTGCACTCACTAGTTGAATGCCTCAATGTTTTTTTTTTTGTTTTTTTTTTCAATATTTGTCAAGTTTAGATGCTTTCTTTTGGAGGACAAAATCAAGTGAAAATCATAATTATGAGACCGCCCTACCACACGAAATTATCAGATCAACTTTGAAATAATGTAATTTTAATTTTTAATAAAATAATGTTGTTTTTTTTTTAAAAAACAATTCTTCACTTAACCAAATTTTATCCAAGTTTAATTAAATTAATATTTAAATCAATTTAAAATAAAACTCAGTTTAACAGATTGATAGGTTATGATTGAGATTAATTGTAAAAAATAACAATTCTTCATTTAATTAAATTTTATCCAAGTTTAATCGGTTTAATTAGGTTTAATTAAATTAAAATTAAAATTAATTTAAAGTAAAATTCAGTTCAACGAATTGATGGGTTATAATTGAGCTTAATTATAAAAAAATAACAATTCTCCATTTAATTAATTTTTTTCCAAGTTTAATCGGTTCAACTAGATTTAATTAAATTAAAATTTAAATTAATTTAAAGTAAAATTCAGTTCAACGAATTGATGGGTTATGATTGAGCTTAATTATTAAATTATGGTGTAAATGGAGTATGTTTTTTTTCCCTTCAGCCTGGAGATCCACTTGAAATATTCAAGCCAAATCCCATTTTTCACCTCTCGAGTGTATTTAAAGAGGTCAAGGTGAAGGACAGAGAGATTCGTGAAACATTATTGCATTGGCATTTTTATGCTAAACACTTTTTTTTTTATGATGTGCATTTTATAACATGTTTAAGCTCAATTAATCGAGGATGCTTGTTTTTATGTTTTAAATTTGTGTTTAGGTGTATTTTAAAAATATTTTTATCTTAAAAATACATTAAATACATTAAAAACTTACAAATCATTTCAGATTAATTATTTTTATTAGAATAATATTTGTTATGTTTTTTTTAATAAATGTCGAGTTTAAATTAAATTTAACTGATCAATTAAATTATTAAAAACTTTATCATAAATGAATAGATTTAGCAAAGTCAATATCTTACCAATTCAAATAGAAACTCAATCCAACTTAAGTAATCAATTCCAATATTTTTATGTGAGAGAATAACTAATAATATTTTATTAGTTATTTTTTAAGTTTTTTTTAATAAGTAAAAGTAGAAAAAAAATTTAAATGGAGATATTTTTATCTCTTTATGTGCATGATGAATTTTATTTTTTCTTTAATTTTTGATTTTTTAAAAATAAATATAAAAAAATAACTCATAAAATATCTATGATAAACGGTAAAATTTAATTTGTAAAGGTTATGGGCCCAGATGCCTTAACGTGGTCCGGGCCTCAAGCTGTTAAATTCATAACTCACTTTTACTTCTGGCGGGAAAATTCATTTTTGCGCACCAAAATAAAAACTTTCAAAAACCCCAAAATCCCCTATCTAAAACACCGAACCCTAAAATCCCAAATCCTCCATTTCTCTCCGCTCAACATCGACAAATACCATCATGCCGATAAGCAAAGAAGAGCAAGAAATGCAGACAGCGAAACGCGCATTTGTTAACGCGCGTGAAGTAGGGAATCACCAAGAGGAAGCAAGATGGGCAAATTTGATAGGAGATATGTATAAGAACAGAGGGGAGTATGTGAAGGCATTGAAATGGTTACGTATAGATTATGAGATTTCGAACAAGTACTTGCCTGAGAAGCAGTTGTTGCCTACTTGTCAATCTATTGGAGATGTTTATCTCAGACTTCATGATTTCAAGCATGCTTTGGTTTACCAGGTTAGATTGAATTGGATCACTTTTTTTTTTGAGAAAATGAAAATTTGGTTTTATTCTGTTTTCTGGAAAATGAGAAGTGCGTTTTGGATTTTGGGCGAGGGGAATTGACTGGAAGTTTAAAATTTTGAGGGGAATTAGGGGGTTTTGTTTGTTCTAATTTGTGATTTTAGTTTTTGATTCTGGTCAGATTTTGTTTTTTTTTTCTTTTTGATAGAATAAAAGGAGAATTGGTTTTTTTTTTTTTTTGGGGGGCGGGGGTGTGTTGGGTGTTTAGAATTGAAGGAAATTGGATTTTTTTTTTTTGAAAAGAATGTATAATTTGTGAGGATTAAATTGTAAATTTTATACAATTTGTTGGCTTCTATGAAAATGGGAGAAATTATGATGGTTTGAGTTGTGGGTTTTGAAATGTCTGCTGGAATGGATATTAATAGAAATAGCTGAATGGAGGTGATTCTTCTTCTTCTTCTTCTTCTTTTTCTCTTGGCGTTTTAAACTATCAAGAGGGTTTTGTTTATAGCTCTTCAGTTTTTGGATCATGGGAAGTTATGACTTGTCTAAAAGCCGGGTTGTTAAACTTTGAAAAATATTTAAATAAAGGGTTATAGACGGATTTACTTGTGAACTTTGAGTAAATTTCTGCTTTAAAAGCAAAGGTTGCAAGTAAGTGGATCTGTTATCAATATGGATTATTAAAAGGTGATTCATCATTGCAGAAAAAGCATTTGGATCTTGCCAAGGATGCCAACGACCTTGTTGAACAGCAAAGAGCCAGCACCCAGCTTGGTCGAACATACCATGAAATGTTCTTAAAATCTGACAATGACCATTCTTCAATCCGGAATGCCAAGAAGTACTTCAAGTCAGCCATGAAGCTAGCTCAGTCTCTCAAGGAAAATCCACATACTAATAAATCGTCTTTCCTCAAAGAATATATAGATGCCCATAATAATATAGGAATGATTGAAATGGATCTTGATAACTTGGAAGAAGCCAAGAAAATACTTACTAGAGGACTAGAAATATGCGATGAGGAAGAAGTTGATGCAGATGATGATGGTCGGAGCAGGCTCCATCACAATCTTGGAAATGTTTACATGGAGCTGAAGGTGTGGGATAAGGCTCAGGAACACATTAAAAAAGATATTAGAATTTGTAATAGAATAGGGCATTGCCAAGGGGAGGCAAAAGGGTACATCAATCTTGGTGAATTGCATTACAGAGCTCAAAAGTATGAGGAAGCAAATCTTTGCTATCATAAGGCACTTGATCTGGCAAAATCCATGGAAGATGAGGATGCTTTGGTCAAGGAAATTGGTCATAATATTGGAACTGTAAGAGAAGCTATGAAGGTGATGGATGAATTAAAGAAAGAAGAGCAGAATCTCAAAAAGTTAACTAGAAGTATAGTCACTGCAAGGGGAACACATCATGAGCGGAAGTGTTTGCTGCAGCAGAATGCATCCCTTGACTGCCTCATTGAGAAGTCGAGCATTATACTTGCATGGTCAAAGGTAGCTGCTCTACCATACATACTGTAAACTTCTAATAGCTTTGCCAATATCTAGATGCTCTTGGAACATATTCTAATAGTTATTTACTGCATTAAAAATTGGGAACATATTTACATGAGATGCATTAATTTTATGTGTCCCCTTGCTAGCTTTGATCATCTCACTGTGCTCTTCTTAGAGAGAATCTCCACATTAATGCTGTCCTAAGTTAACAGAAATTGAATTTCTTAGATATTTTTGAAACAGATCTAGTTAAATTTCATTAACTTGTTTGAGCTAGGATTTAGTATGGTGTCATTTACATATTTTGAACTGTTAAAGTAACTTTCTATTTTTTATTGTATGTTGTTTTTAGGCAAAAGAGAAACTTTCCACCAAATTGATTATACATGGCATGTGTCTCTGCCCCCCACCCTTCTATTTTGTGATTTTAAACTAAGCAATGTTGTGATGTTATATGTCTAGCATCATGAATTTGCAAAAAGGAAGAAGAGAATAGCTAGTGAACTCTGTGATAAAGAGAAGCTGGGCGATTCATTTCTACTTCTTGGAGAATCATACCAGAAGCTCAGAAAATTCAAGAAAGCCATTAAATGGTTCATGAAGAGTTGGGAGACATACAAGTCAATCAGCAACTTGGAGGTACTTTTGTGCTAGTTCTCCTGTATACCTGTTAATGAACTTATGGTTGATTGAGGGGAGCCTTTCAATTTAGCTTGAGCTACTTGGTATAAGAGTTGACACAAATGCAAGTCAAAACGCACTTTATGTTTTGACTGTCAAAGCTCTAACTATTAACTATTATTGATTTCAGGGTCAAGCATTAGCAAAAATTAATATAGGTGATGTTCTGGATTGTGATGGTGATTGGATGGGAGCTCTAAATGCATTTGAAGAGGGCTATAGGTAGTTTTCTCTAACACCTTGTTTTTCTCAGCAATTCCTCCGTTTGAATTAGAAGATTCATGGAGTGTCTAGCATGACAGTATTGGTGTTTTATGACAGTATTGGTGTTTTAGGCATATCAGCATTTACAAAGTACATCCTGTTTTGTAATACAAGGCTCAAATGCAGCCCATGTGGGCAAACTGGGAAGCGTGCATGTGGATACTGCTGTTTTCAATACGATAAGAGGATAGTATTTTGAAACAGGGTTTTGCTTGTTTTGTAAGCAGTATTTGGAGTGTTCGGTTAAGAATGTAACCAAAGACAAATGCCATTGGTGCATCTAGTCTATATTGTTAGGAAGGTGCTTTGATGTGTTCATCATTTTAAACAAATTATGAAAGATCTTCTTTTATGCTGGATTTCTCCTCAGAAACTAGATTGAACCTATATTTAGAGTCAGGATATGGGTTTTTCAAGGGAAGGGGGGTGGGTTTATGTGAAAGGTGGCTTCTCCATGATACTCCCTGTTGAAATGCTTCATTACTAAATTCTGTGAAATTTTTAATTTTTGCGTGATTATTTTTCTCTTATCATTCTCATATCATCCTTATTTGATTTATTAATTCTTATCATCATTATCAAAATGCTTTAGCTACCTCAAAAGTCATGCCTTTTCCTTTATATACAAGGCTTGTTGGAAATGACCTGCTAAAGGATTTAAATTATATGCAACAGAAGCATCTGAAGTGCTAAACAGAATAGATACTAGTTTGGTATTGGTTGGCGAAGCAGCAAACTCGAATTTGCCAAGAATCTCAACTGTTGGTGAATATTACATGGGCCTGGAATGACACCCATTTGCTATGTTAGTAATTTGAATTTGCAAGAGTTACAACAAAGGAAAATAGAAGGACGGGGAACATAAATTTCAGACTATTCCCTGTGAGGGTCACCTAAATCATTCTGTTAGCATAGAAATCAATTGTCTTGTGGTTGTCTACTTGTACCTATTTCTTAGGAGCCTCACTTTTTTGTTTTCCTATTATGCAGGATTGCTGTTAATGCTAAACTTCCCTCTGTTCAGCTTTCAGCATTAGAGAACATGCACTATAGCCACATGATAAGATTTGACAATGAAGAAGAGGCCAGGTAAATTTGGATTATGCAACACCTTTCATCAATCTAGGCTAGCCACTTGGAATTAGCTTTGATGGCTTAGGAATTTCAACTTTAGAAGTTGATAACCCAAACACTAGTCTTGCAGTAAATTGAAGTTTGAAGGTTTTCTTGCAGAGGCACAAATATGTACTATTACTCAAAGAAAGGTTTGCTTTTGTAGGAGGTTGCAGCGTGAAATTGAGAGGTTAAAGTCCAAAAACACAGAGCTTGAAAGGCAAAATTTGGCAACGGATTGCTGCTCTGAGACTGATACAGAAGGGGATGATCACTTGTCAGATTGTAGATCTAATTCATCCTGCTTCCAAGAAATTAACAAATCTGGTTCTGCAAGATCAAAATCTTTAGCTGGTGCTGAAGGGTTGAATGATGATTTACCTCTGATTTCACTCCTTCGGTCCCATAAAAATTCTCCCAGAAAAAAGTCAACTCAAGAAGAAATGCATAATACTTCTACTTGGCCAACTGAAGCCTCTCCAAAATGTTCTTCCAAAACAGCTAGTGATCAGCAGACAGTTCTTTGTCGTAAACGTATTAGAATAGTCCTTTCAGATGATGAAGATGAAATGCATGATAAGGTAGACTGCTCCAGAGAAAGGCTCAATAGATGCCCACCGGAGGATGTTGCTACTTCTAATGGATGTGGGTTTAAATTATTATTTTTAAATCAGGAATGATGAACTTATTTTTGATCTAAAATTTCATTTCTATTAGTACTGAAGTACTTATTTAATTGCAGTTATGGGGGCAAGCAATCCAGCTATTTCTGCATGTGCATTTCAGGTATGAAAATAGATAGATCAAAAGCTGAAGTTTATTGTTTCCTTTGTGAAGTTGATTGTTAATTGCTTTACACTTTATTTGGCAGGGTGTATCAACAGTTGCTTCCAAATGTGCTACCAGTTCCTGGAATCCCAATAACAATGAAGAAAGCACTTCTTCATACAAATCTCAGAGCCCAAAAATTGTGACTCCCAAAGGAAAAGTTTTCAGATCTTCAAGCAACAATGAAGTTGTTTTTGCATGCGATCTTGCTGCTAGTGGCTCCAAATGTGATGTCTCTGAGAACTTAATGCATAAAAACAATGCTGCCCATCTCAGGTTGCACAATTCTGGGAATGATGATAATGTGAGTGTTACATGTGTATTATTAATTGTCCTACGATTATAATTTACAAGGGAGATCTTAGAGACACTCCTCTCCATCAATTTTTCATGAAGTAGGTCTCGAATCTGCAACCTCTTGGTTTCAAACTTTAGATGCTTACTATGGAACTAGATAAAGGCCATCTTTTAGGAGATAGAGATAATGAAGAATGCTTATTTATCACTGTATTTCCTATGCTATATAATTATTTGGTTGATGCTGTAAATTGCTAATACGATCTCTTGTACTGACTGCAGCAGTGTATTGTATTCAGAATTGACAATGACCTGATACAAGTAGATGCAGCTTCATACCTCGCATTTGATAAATTGAGCATTGAGTCCATGACTGTTGAGCTGGCCTGTTTGTACTATTTGCAGCTTCCTACAGAGAAGAGATCAAAAGGTGGGCATAACTGTTGGACTTTATATGCTTTAATTTTCTGACAATCATAATTTAGGGCATGAGTTGTAATCCACAAATCTAATAAATAACAATAAAGAAACAAGTTGCATTTGATTTACGAGTGGCAGAGTGTATATTAAATGGCAACAAAAATGGATTTAAATGCACCTTCGAACACATGATTCTGCATTGTTTAGAAAGGCTAACAATGAGCAGCGAGCACAAGTCTTTTTTTATTTCTTTCTTCTGTTCAAAAGACAACAAACAATTTGGCAGCATTGCAGTGGAAATCATGTCATGTGTATTCCTAAAGTGAGTTGGCAGAGAGATTCTCTCTGTGAAGGCTGTGTTGCTCCAATGCAGCTGATTTTGGCATCAAAATGACCCATGGTGGGCGTCGTTGGTGCCCATGCTGAGTTGCAAATATATGCTTTACGTTATATGCATAGTGAAGTTTTTTTACTGCCCAGCGTATGAAGCTTAGGCTCCTTTGTTGTACGTAGCACGTGCATAGGCCTACATTGCATGACAATGAGCCTTTTGTTTTGCTACGGTCTCAACTGTGCATAGACTCCCTTTTTTTCTCCATTATTTGATTGGGTGTTTTGCTCAACAGTACTTTCCCAATGCAGAGGAAGTGAAGTCTTGGGTTTAAGTCCTACTCTTGTCATGCAAAAATTAATTTAAGTCCTACTCTTGTCATGCAAAAATTGAAAAAGAGCGAAGAACAATGCACAATTAGAAGGAATTTCACTCTCCGACATGTTTATTTTCTTAAACATAAATAAAAAACCTTCTTGCAACAACTTAATTAGAAGAAATTTCACTCTCCAGCATGTTTATTCTTTAACGGTATTATTTTCCTTTCTTGGTTACATCACTTCTATTAACACGTGGATTTTATCTCATTAGGTCTCTTGCCCATCGTTCAGCATATGAAATGTCATGGAAGAGTTCTAGATTCCATGGAAGCATTTGAAACTCTCAAGGGTGATCAAGGAAATATCCTAATAGAAGTTTCCATTAATGGTATGTGTTACAACTTCCAATTTCCTTTCCATGATATATTTTTTCCGGGCTTCTTTATTTTCCTTGAATCTTGAGTATTCTTATGGTGAATGTAGTTCGTCATGCTCTCCCCAATTCAAATATTTTAACTTTTTAGTTCAGGCCTTGTGTACGTGGTAATAGTCAGTGGAAACTATTGATACTTTATGTTGCATTGTTGTTGACAGTCTTGAGGGACTTTTTGGGCAATCATTAACAATCTTGATAGGATCAGTTTCACAATGAGTTGCGGAATAACGTACTTTAGAATAGAGGTACTGGAAAAAAAAAGATTTTAACTTAAGTTGGCACAAATTGTGTTGAACATTATTCTGGCCAACAAGGATCCTCCTGATTGAGGAATTTTACTACTGAAATATATAAGAGCTGTAGAATGAGAATGGCATCAATAAAACTGCATGCTTTCAAATGATATTTCTGCCTGATGCTTGAAGAAATACTACTTTGGAAGAGAATCCAACCAGAACAGTTTTCTAAAATTGATCTTCAACTTTGCTCTCTTATTATCTAGTAATTTACCGAAGATAGTCATAATTGGCATAGGCAGCATAACCATATTCAGCAACTGTCGAAGTAGATGCTGCTGCTTTATTCTTTTCATTTCAAATTTTTTCCTAATGTCATGTTCTTTATTCAATGAAACAACAGGTTGGGTTCAAAAGCGCTTGATGAAGCTGTACATCGACTGCTGCGAGGAGTTATCTGAGGCACCTAATATGAAGTTGCTTAAGAAACTATACATTTCAGAGGTAAGCATGGGGATAGGTTAGGAGCTGATTGGTGAAGGGGGATCTTGTTTTATTGGTAATGGCAGGATAGTGGATCTCATTATCTGTTCGAGTTATACATATCCAAATTGGTTTCTATTTTGTTCTATTCATTTCTCGTGTGCCAGGTAGAGGATGAAGTCATTGGATCTGAATGTGAATTGCAAGATATATCAGTAACTCCACTGTTGAATGCCCTGCATACCCACAAAACAGTTGCCGTGATAGACCTTTCCCATAATTTTTTGGGTAATGATAGTTGGCTTTTGATCGTAACTTCTATATGGATCTGTTTCTGGATTACAAAGGGCATGCTTACTGTGTCTCTGCATGCTTCTCAGAAAAAAAGCTGTTATTGCATCATTTTCCTTGTTATCTCTTAAAGGAATGAGGGGTCGTCAATTTTCTGCTCTGCTTATATTAGCTGTCCATTGGTTATTGTCTCTCAGGGAATGGAACAATGGAGAAACTTCAACAATTTCTCACAACAGGGCAAAAATACGGTGATTTGACTTTGGATTTGCATTGTAATCGGTTTGGTCCATCTGCTTTATTTCAGGTATGTAACTTGTACAGCCTAATATTGATTTAGAGTATTCTATCCCCTGCTTGGTTATTCTCAAGCATTCATCGTGACTCTCAAATCCGAAGGAATTGCATTCTCAACCAATTTCAAACGTGGAACTGGGAAATCCGGACACAAAATGATGGCAATGTTGTGGTTACTTGTTTAAAGTACTCTGGACATTGTCAATTACTACCAATAAGTTGTATATAAAGTTTGCATTTTTCACTGCTGCAATCTGCTCTCTCCAAAATTAATTTATCTCATCAATGATTAATTCTTTAAAATGACATCAGTTTTAGGTCCAGCTAAAGCCCATACTTAAGAAAGAAATTAACGGAGCATATGTGACGGAGATCTTTTGCAATTTTACAACCTGATGTTGCTTTAAAACTTCCTATTCCAAAAACTCATGCTTTCAGCAAATAATAACATGGCATTTGGATATTGCAATCTTGGAGGATTAAATAACAAAGCTGTACAAAGGCCATGGTTTTTTATTGCTGTTAGTTTTTACATGTGCTCATGACGTTATGATTTGGGGACAAGTTGTCTGGAAAATTTGATGTTAATCAATTGGAAGTGATACATAGAACTTAAGTAGCGCACTTCTAGTAAGTAGAATGAATTCAAAGATATTAAAAGTCAGGGAAAAAACTGCATGGCGAATACGTGAACCAAAAAGAATGCAATTAAATACAAATTATGTTTACATGGTCAATTTTATGTACGGTTGGTAGTTCACTAACTAGCGGAGAAATCTCATTTTGTAAAAGCAATTAATAGGTTGTCAAGCATAACATTTAGACATCGGTTTAACATCTTGAGACTTGTGCATCCTTTGAACTTGGTTATTCGCCACTGAACTGGTAAATATTATATGCTCCAGGGAGTTAAACTATTGTCAAAACATGAAAAAAAATTGGGGAAAACATCAAATATATCACCAAGTTTTTGAGGTATTATTAATTTTGCACCCAAACTATTTTTTATTTCACTTTTACCTGTAATCTATTTTGATTTCTCGATTAAGGACTTCTGGTAGAATACTAAATAGAAAACATTAAGTTTCCTATAAAATGATATTGTTTTGTAAAAAAAAAAAAAATAGTACAATTTGGGTGGAAATATGGATTGAAAGCCTTAAAAATGGATGAAAGTTCTTAATTGAGAATTTCTAAAATTTTGAGGGTAAAATTGATACCAAAAATTATTTGGTGGTACCATTGAGACTGCCTATATGGTTAGGGGTATTTTTGAAGTTTGTCCAGAAACAATATGATAGTTCAATAAATTACATGTTTATGGAAGTTGTTTGATATGTAGTTCAATTCTTTCCTGATTATTCGATAGTGTACTTGGGTTTTGTTAAGTTCATGTTGGTTTGATACACTTGATTTGGCTTCTGTTGTAAGCCTTTTTTCATGCATAGGTAAGCAGCGATGCATCTTCTCAATATATAAGAGTTCAATGCCTTTGTTTTTTTTTTCCCCCTTATAATGTTAAATTTTATTCCATAAGTAGCATGCATAAGTTTAGAAAAGAGATTAACGCGATTCAAAGGCAATAGTTTAGAAAAGAGATTAACGCGATTCAAATGCAATTTAGAAACCTTGAACTTTCTGGACAAATTTATATATCATATGAATTACTAGAATGAACCAAGTGCAAGTTAAGAGGCGAATAGAACCATTCTATATTCCAAGAATTGCAATGTCAGTGTTCATATACCTGATATAGTGAGTCCAAGAGGGACATAAACATCCTCCATACCAGACAATGCAGTAACTTGAACTTCTATTGGTTTTGATATGAACACTGAATTCTATGCTCAGAATATTCTAACTTCATGATGGCTGGAACTACATTTGGCGATGCCTTTTTTTTCTGCTCTTGATATGCTTTTAATTTGTAATCTTCAGATCTGTGAATGTCCTGTTCTCTTTGCTCGCTTGGAAGTTCTTAATATCTCTGGAAACCATCTCACTGATGCTTGTGGATCTTACCTTTCAACCATATTGGAAAACTGCAGAGGTAAGTATCATACTTTTAAAACTTATAGTAAATTATTATTAACGTGTTTTCCTTGAAAGAGTTTGTGTTGGAGTGCACCTACAGGGGTTGAGCAAGGGCTTTGTTGAATTGATCTGTGTTGAACATCAACTGTGTATGCTTGAAGATGCTAGCATTTGTTTTCCCCCACATATCCTTATTTGTTTTGCTCATAAATGCTCCTTTTGTTTTGTAGCCCTATACAGCTTGAATATTGAGCGTTGTTCCATAACAACAAGAACAATTCAAAAGGTGGCTGATGCACTAAATACGAGCTTGGTCTTGGCACAACTTTCTATAGGTGCACTATATTTGGCTCATTTACTATATTATATTCTTTAGTTTATTTCTTTTTTATTGTCTACTTAATTTGTGCTTCAACAGGATATAATAACCCTGTATCTGGAAACGCTATCATTAATCTACTAGCCAAACTTGCCACCTTGAAAAGGTTTATATCAATACAACTCCATATTCCGAAGTGCTTTTCATCTATAAATTCCCTATATATTCCTGCATAGTTCATGGATGAGATTTCAGCTTCTGAATAAGTTCTCACAAAGCCTGGAATTTTTCTTGTTTGTAGTTTTGCAGCACTGAATCTGAGTGGGTTAAAGTTAACCAAGCCTGTTGTTGATAGTCTCTGCCAGCTTGCTAAAACATCATGTTTGTCACGGTTAATGCTTGGGAGCACTGGCATAGGAACTGTGAGAAACAGTTGACTTTCTGTGGAACTTTTGGTTGTACATCCTGTTTTCTCTAATAATTGATATTACTTGTAGGATGGGGCACTACAATTAACTGCATCATTGTTTGAGGGGTCTCAAGAGTCTGTTAAACTTGACCTGTCATACTGCGGGCTAATGCCTGCATATACTCGTATGCTCAGCACCGATACTCTGATTTGTGGTATTCTTGAGCTGAACCTTGCTGGAAATCTTATTATGCAAGAGGTTTGCTCTTTATTGAATTTATGATAATTACATGTTTTCTGATGTTAAACTTGCTATTTTTATTCTTCAGCTTGGTTTGCCTCTTCAGAAATTATGTTCCTAGAGAGAAGTAAATAGTATGGTAGTAGATGTGTACTGAGCAGTTTCATGATACAATGTCTTCACATTGTGAACAGTTAATGTCACATATAAACTTGACAAATTGTATGACATTTTGACTCCCTGGAGATGAACTTGATTTTGGTGGTTCAATTATATTTGATCTGTGTGATTGACTCAATTTGTTTGAGATCCTTGTTTCTTGATCTTGATTCTCTTAATCTAAAGTCTTTTCTAAACCATATATTTTATATTTGCCTAAAAGTTGCTGGTTCAGAGTACAAATTCAGTCTGTTCTGAGTAGAAGTGAATTCGTTGATATCTTATGAGTGAAAGAACAACAAAAGATACAGCTACTCCGTGTATTTTTGCTAACAAGAAACCTGCTTCATCTAGTTTCTGAGTTCAGCTCCATGTTGCCAATCCACTATCTGAGGTCATCTTAAGTCTAATTTGGTTTGAAGTGTCACCATCTGAAACCACACCTCTTTTGGCCCTTATCTACTTTACAGCAGGAGCAATTCCAACGGTGATTGGCATCCTGTAGTCTTTGTTTTCTCTTGCAAATAGCCAAAATATCGAAAACAATTCTACAAGACATTTGGTTTAATTACCACATGGGGCTGTCTTAGTGCTCACACATCTGATGTACAGCAATTGTCTCTAATTGTCATCAATGTGAAGCTCTTCTGCTTTTGCTCATGAACTCTAGTTACCTGATACCAATTAGAAGGAAAATGGTGTCTGGTAACAGATCACAATGCATTGAGATCTAGGGGTGAAAGTAGATTGTGTGAGCTATTCATAATAAATTGCTCTTGGCAAGAATATTGCCAAATTCTATCTGCTCCATGCTGTCATGTCATGTCTTTTTTCCCTTTTCCCCTTTGGAATTGAACTTCAGATACTTGATCAGAAGTTTTGTAAATTTGAGCTAACCTGATTATGAATTATGGACGCAGGGAACAAATGCAATGGTGTCATTGCTTACAAATCCACAATGCTGTCTGAAAGTTTTGGTCCTGAACAAATGTCAACTGGGGCTCACTGGGATTCTTCAAATGATTCAAGCACTTGCAGGTTCTTACAAAAAAGTCCCTTGAAGTGTTCATTTATCAATTAATATTATTAATTTCTTTCTTTTGTTTTAATGAGTGCAGAAAATGACTGTCTAGAAGAGCTCCATCTTGCTGATAATGCCAGCCTGGAGAAAACATACATGCTACAGTATGACTCGACTAAAGGGTGGTGCCCAGACATCTTGCAACCCGACTTAAATAAATCTGAATCAAAGATGAGTGTGCCCAAGGAAAGCGACTCGCACAAGCACGGTGTATGTGTTATGAACACTGAATGTAATCAGCTTGAAGTGGCTGATAGTGAAGATGGTCCTATCAGGGCAGAAGCTGCTCCATCTGACTTTGATGACAGTTGCACAAGCTCATGTCAAAAGAATTCTTTGTTAGAATGCCAATTCATTCAAGAGCTTACAACTGCCATCAGTATGGCAAAGCAGCTGCAATTCATGGAATTGGGCAGCAATGGCTTCACAACACAAGTTGCAGAAGCTCTGTACGCTGCATGGTCATCTAGATTAGAAAATGGTTTGGCTTGGAGACACATTGAGGATCAGACAATCCATTTCTCTATGGAAACAAACAAATGCTGTAGGTCAAAACCCTGCTGCAGAAGGGATTGATTCGTTGTTTCTGGAACTCCCATCTATCTCTCAGCAGGTGATCACCAGGCACTTTTGCAGCAAATAGAAGTTTACTATAAATAACACAATCAACACTCGAGATTTTCAATGCTATGCCGAATGCCACTGTAGATATCAACAATTTTTTTATGGATTTCCTTTACAATTGATCCTTTTAATTTATGTATACAACTTTACTTGAATATCACATAAGTGCAAATATATATTTGTGTAAACCCTGTCTCATGCAAATATTAAACGAGGCAGTTGACATGGGCAACATTATTTCTCGAATGTCTGTTGATTATGTTCTTGGCTATGCAGAGGGTGCGCCTTCATTGATATTTGACCCTGTCTCATGCAAATATTAAACGAGGCAGTTGACATGAGCAACGTTATTTCTAGAATGTCTGTTGATTATGTTCTTGGCTATGCAGAGGGTGCGACTTCATTGAAATTTGAAACTACATATGATGACGGGCTGTAGTTTATATTTCACTCTTGAACCCGTAAGAATGTTTTGATGATACGTGGAGCAGCGGAAGATGTTTTCATCAGTTATAAAATGCTTCAGCCATGGATAATGGGCTAGGCTAGTGAGGGGCTCGAGGCACTTTAACAAAAGCTACTATTTAGCATTTGCATTCATGTGATCACATGATCGTTGTAGTGTACCTTAGAAACAGAGAAAGTTGGTGGCTTGTGATCATACTATATTTGCATCTTTTGATACTTTATTTCTAACTCTTGCAGTTAAACAGGAAACATGTTGGGGTGTCCAAGCCATGGAGTTCCGATGAAGATTTGTATGTCCAAAGTAAGCAGATATGAGAAGCTTAAAATATAATTTAGTGTTCAAATTCGTGGCCCAGTAGAATTCTGGTTTCCAGTGATGGACCCATTGACGTACAAATCTACTAATATTTCCGATTTTTAATGTCAGACCTCGTCTTCTTTCTTTGCAACTATGCATGACCCAGAGGGTGCTGGCCTGCCAAGGAGTATAGCATATTTTAATTTAAAACCTAACTTAGATTATATTGAAAATATTCCGAATCAATTTATGGAGTTGAATCAAATTTAATTATTATAAGTATTTGGACCGAATTCAATAATATCGTGTATGGTATATTTTCATCTCAATAGCCATATTGATAAAAAATATTTTAAATTTTCCATGCATACGATTGAATCATCAAAAATGTATATAGACGTGAAGGACACAATTTTCCCTATCAAAAGTCTGGCAGCATAGTCTAACTGTATCTAATTTCATGTATCAAAATGAAGATCAATTAGGAGTGTCATATCTAGCCGAGTTCAAAATCTAACAAGATCAAAGGAAAAATTAAAAAAATTAAAGAGGGTCAAATGATAAGCTAGGGATCCCAAAGTGGGACAAGAAATTTTATAGACTTATAAAATAAGTGATATTCACATGCAATCTTTATTGATAGGAAACCGGGGAACAGAAGAAAATAAAATTTTATAACACCATGTATTCGATGCATTTTACAGTGGATTCAGGAAGAATGTTGGCTACAATTTTAATATATATATATATATATATATTTCAGAGAGTACAAATGATTAAGGACACGTTTGGTTGTTTAATTATTTAATTGAGGTCTTGTCATTGAACAGGAAACATATAGTGTATAAAATACAAAAGAGAAAAGCCATGATTCTAACCCTATGTATAAAACAAAAGCTTGAGTATTCAAGATGGGCCATCCCCATTAATCATTCAAGGGATCATGATCAGCTAATGGTGTTTTGTGTGATCTATGCTATGAAGCTCATCTTCCTCCTGATTTCTACTCTATTTTTCCTTCTTCTTCTTTTTTCCTTTTTTGAAGTTTCAAGCAATAATTCCATCACCATTAAGAATTGTGCTGTAAATGATGCTTTGTTGTACATTACTGCAGCATATCAATGCGCCATCATTTAGTGAAATTGATTGTCATATACAATGCTTCTTCTCCAAGTTTTAAAACTTTAGCAAGCAAATATGAACAGAAGGATACTGCAATGAAAGTAACATAATTTTTGGAGCCATTTGCTCTACATTATAGCTAATTATGAGCACAAATCCCCCTTGTAATTATCACAAGTATATCTCTAGCTCCTCAACTGAAGATACTTCGGATCATGGCCAAATCTCTACTTTTAGTTTCTGATGACCTTTGATATACTTTCACTCTACTTTCATTATGCTTTAACAAAACTTAAAATAAAATAAAACCAGAATGATAAATAGACGGGTTTGTATTAATTAATTAGGTTAAAATTATGCATCATATGTGGACAAAAATTCCTAGTTCACCCATCTAATTTCTATGATGACTAATACGTAGTGTATCTTCAATTAAAATCTTTTAAATGCATTATAATCGGTAATTTTTTTACTTGAGTAAAATAATTGGATTTTAAGTTCATAAATGTATTTGATTTTATTCATTTTAAAGGTGAGTAGTAATATAAAAAGAATTCCATTTTAAAACTATAATTCAAAATTGAACAGCAATTATTGTTGTTGTTTTTGTGATCATGTATATGTTATTTTAAACAAACTTTCTCATTCTAAAACTAATTTTATTATTCTAATTTAATATGAAATAAAATATCTATATATATCACTATTAATATATATCACTATTAGAAGATTTAAGAGAATTTCATTTCTCATCAATCAAACAACTATACTTCAAATGGTCAGATTAATCAAATAAAGGAGTAAACCAATTTTAATCAATAGACCTATATATTAATTACTATTAAATAGTAATATCAGAAGAAAATTCTAGGTAGAAACTAGGGTTCAAAATCCAACCTGAGGAGGTCTTTAACTTGACTTGAGTTTATAGAACAGTCCATAAACATACATCCTGATTAATATAGGAGGCAATCATTTGGTTCATATTACATATCTGATCATGTGCTTTCCACCACAATATTTCTGATATTAATCGAATTATTTAATAGATTAAGAAAAGGTGTTAGAGAGCCTAATAAAGGATAATAGATTAAGAAAAGGTGTTAGAGAGCCTAATAAAGGATAACTTTTTTTTGTTTCTTTGGTATTTTAATTGAATTATTGCCTTAGAACAGGAGACATGTTGACTGATCAATTCGAAGAAAATCCAGGCAGAAAGATAACCCTAGTTTTTTTTTATATATTCCTTTTTGTATTTAAAAAATATAGTACTCAATTTGCTTTTATTATTTTCCTACTCCATCAGCTTTCTTCTATGAACTCGAGAGAATTAAATCTGGGAATCATGGTGATTAAAGATTCTTGTGAAATCAACCAGAAGAGAGTCACATTAAGGCATATTGAAACACTAGAAAGAACCAAAAATTAGATTACAAAAAAACTTTTATTGATAATATTGTATTTCACTATTAATTTTAGAATCTCACAATCATGAACTTTGTTACGTACATTATTAATAATGTCACCTGACATTACAAGTCGAAATTAAGAGAGTATTTTCTGGTGGTTTTGAACATTGAATTGGAATTGTTCTACGAGCCACCCATTCTTCCCTAGCAAGAGTTTTTAATTAAATTTACTTTATTCATGTTAAAAAAAGAAAATAATTTAGCAGTTGAAATTTAAAATTTAGAACATGAAAAAGATGGGATCAAAGTGTACAAATTATAGAAGACAAGAGCTACCTTTAATTTTGTAGCCTGAAATTCATCCAACTTTATATTAACTAATTAAATAAAAGTAATTAAACAATGAGAGAGGCTCCAGTAGCTTTAATTTTCTCAGGAATTAAGAGGGACTACTCTACATTGCGTGGTGAAAAATCCAAAAGAACCGAAGTGAAGGATCGGATCGCCTTCTTAATTTCTTCGAGCCTATATGTGCACATATTTTATTTATGTAATACTAAATTAATAAAGGTTAAACTCCAAAAATATAATAATATTAGATGAAGCAAAAAAAATAAAAATAATTCCTTTTCGAATTCTTTTTTTTTTTCGAGAATCTTTGAAGCAATTATTCATGGTAATAATTGTAAAACATGGACAAATCAAATAATGAAGCATGCGAGTAGAGCCAATTTCACAAAGATCACTCATACCTCACAAGTCTTATCCTTCTTTTGCATTTTAGCATCACCATCATCATGATTTCAGATCATATCCACCAGTCAATTCTGGGTTTCGATAATTTCTATATCAGAACAATATCCTGGCTGTCAACCAAGAATATTATTTCCCAGGAGATAATTATATAGAGTATCTCAAATATTATCAAAAAAGAATTACAGAGAGTACGTACGTAGTATCTCATGATTGTAATCTCCTTGCTGTTTTGCACTGGAAAATTATTGTTAAATTAATTACTCATCAGTTCTATATATACGTTTCAAAGCATACACGTATATACAAGCCCTCGGTGACTTGTGGAAACACCGATTTTATATATTATTCAATCATTAATTTGTATGATACGAAAGAACTTGACTCAAGCAATCTGATTAAGGAAAATTAAGAGTTGGAAATTTCACTTTGTTTTAAATAAGTATATATTTTGGTTTCGAAAGATTAATAATCTAACAACAAAGTTTTTTTTATATATATATATATAAAGAATGGGTCAATATTTTCTGCGAAAACAAAGTCAAATTAAAAGTTCAAATATATTAACAGAAGCTTATCGTTTGAATGTCATTAGAAGCTACCGTGGGCCCTAAAGAGCACCAAAAAAACTGCTGTAATCATGGTAATTTAATGGAGTTTGTTACATCAATGGGCCTCCCTTAATTTTTTGCAATGGATGAACGAAAAACCTAATCACCCACAACGCATTGGATATTACATCATCTTTGTAAAGTTCTTGAAAGGGATGAAAGCTGAGAATTTTTGACATCAAGTTGCAGCAGTCTTAGCATAAGAAAATGCCCATCATTTGCCATCTTTAAGCGACAAAACGTGGTAAAAGCATGAGTCTTAGGTTTTGGGATAGAAACTAATGATTAGCATGATTTCTTGTAGCACATAGTTCATGGGGGTTCTTCCATTCCTTTTTTTTTTTTTTTTTTTAAGTTGTTCATGGGCCACAACTTGTTGTTTTGGTGGATTGCCCATCATTGTACTTCTAACTCTTTGTTTCTTTGGGGAAACCTTTTGGGTGCTTTTAAATTACTTTTTGCCATGAAACAGGGAAAAGAATTGCAGTACTATTCAAGCTATAGTCAAAGGAGTTCCCAAAAAAATGCAAAAACATTGAGAAAAATATTCAATCAAGGGTCCCTGCTAATATTACATCAAACTTATGAACTATATGTAAAAATGCCAAGAAAGTCTCATCACACCATGGAATAAATATCATGTTGTGAGGCGCGTGTTAGTTTAATTTGTAAAATTATTGATAACTGGTTCGTACTTCATTGTAGGTGCAGGTCATATAAAAAATTTTCGTGGATGTAACAAAAACATATAAATATTGCTAATATATAGCCCATGTATGAGTATAATTTTGATTATGAGCTCAAAACTTTATGTATATAGAAAAGAAAATTATAAATATCAAGACAATAATATTTCAATTACTTTAGTTAACTTGAGATAAATTATTAAATTTATAACTT